ACACAGTATGATGCCGACTTATATTGCCAGCATGAAGCCAAATTGCGGCGACAATCTCGACAGCATGCCTTGAACCTAGACATACAATACAAATCGAGTTCACAGTTTTACAAACGACTTAAGGATCATGAAGCCAAAGTTTTGCCAGGTTTTCCTGTCCGCATTACTGCACAAGCCACACTCTGCCGATCGATCAAGGGACAAGTATCCCTGATAATACATCAGCCAATGACCTTTCGCTTATATGCGGCAGCCACTTTTGGCGACGCCCGGATTCGGATCATGGAACAGCATGATTCTCGTATCATTTGCCATATTCTACATGGACAAATTCCCACACATGGCGATCTCGTCCAAGAGGTCTTCGCTTTCGAGGTTACTCAAATGGCAGCTCCATTCGAACAATACTGGTCCCAATTCTGGAATCGTGATTCACCCCATGAGGAATGCTCTGACCACCCATGGGAACAGACCATTCAATCCCTTTGTAGTCGTATCCCGCCCAGTACACCGTTGCAAGTACTTTGGGATAGCCCCCGGCTTTTGCAACAAACTATCCAACGTCTTAAACCATTTAAAGCCGTTGGTATCGATGGCTGGAGAGCTGAGGAACTGCAATCCCTTCCGTCTGAAGCCGTTGAAGACCTTGCTGACATTCTGGCCATCATTTGGCCACAAGGGCTGCCTGCACACCATCTAATTGCTCGAGTTGTCTTATTGGCCAAACGCCAGCCCCCCCACGGCTATTACAGACGGTCGTCCGATTACCATTCTTGGCTATCTAAGTCGGCTCACGTCCAAACTTGTCGCTGATCAGTTGTTAAATCAATGGGCTTCTACCTGGCCGAGTGCCATCTCAGGCGGTCTGCCCTTTAGAGGCGTCCAAGACATAACATTCATGCAGCAGTTTCAAATTGAGGCAGCTAAGACACGTTCACTTCCATGGCGAGGTTTTACTCTCGACTTGATTAAAGCATTCAATTTACTCCCCCGCCGGGTTATCTATCACCTCCTGGTTCAACACGGTGCACCTCCTCAATCAATAAACTTTTGGTTTAAGAACCTTCGTAATATGACCCGGAGACTTCAAGTTCGTCAGGCTATCGGACCGGCAATTCATATGACTACAGGTGTGCCAGAGGGAGATAGTATGTCCGTCTGTGCTATGTTGGTAGTCTCGTCAACGTTCTACTGGACCCTTCAGACACCCACAGTCTTTCCGTATGCTTATGCCGATAACTGGTCCCACCTCACCACCAATCAACGTGACAATATCTTGACATTCCAGAAAATTAAACACCTCGTGGAAGCACTGCGTATGCAGATTGATTTTACTAAATCGTGGGCCTGGGGAGCTACCGCGGATGCACGCCATGACTGGCAGACATTCCTGCTTCATGAATTTCCTGATGACAATCCGGTCAAAATCCTCAATTCTACTAAAGATCTCGGTTGTATGACCCACTATACGCACCACATCACCCTAGGACATCTTAAGACTAAAATGGCAAGTGCCGTCCAACGATGCCGACGCATTCGATGGTTCCAATTGGACATCACTCATAAAGCTCGACTCATCCAGACAGCCATCTGGCCACATGCTTTCTATGGGGCCGAAACACAGATTGTTGGCGACAAACATTTCAGAACACTCCGTCGGGAGGCTACCAAGGCGCTCATAGGCCCCGAAGCACAAATCTCAAGCTGGCTTGCAGTCCATCTTTTCAGTCCACAATTACAGGACCCCTTGCTTTATGTCATCACAAATGCCTTGGCATTCTTGCGTCGCATGTTTCATGTCAACCCTGACTTAGCCAATCAGTTTCTGCAAGCAGTCCTACATCACGATGGCCCTGCAGTTGGCCCCGCTGGGGCCCTCGCTCGCTATCTTAATCACGTTGGCTGGTCATTGGACTCCGATGGTCGTCTTGCTCTGGACGGATGTTTGTCGGTCTCCATTCGGTATGATGCATTGAAGTACATCCGACAACAATTGCGTTTAGCTTGGGCCTATCAAATTAATCGTAATATTTGTCACCGTAAAGGAGTTCAAGAATATCCATTTGACTTTGTGATTTTGTCACGAGTTCTGCGTACACTACCGATAGCTTCGGTTCGATTAATTGCATATAATCTCACTGGAGGGTATCAGGTTGGGGCCGTCAAAGCCTTATGGTCAGCTACTACTGATGCACACTGCCCATATTGCGATCAAATCGATACACATACACATCAGCAACTTGAATGCCCGGCTTTCCAGGAGATTCGCAATCAGCATCCACAGGCAGTGACTTATCTCACTCATCACCCACAGAAGCAATGGATTCCCTTACCGGGAACTTTTCCGCACATGGCAGAGTTGCGTCAATTCTTGATGGCACGTGGTCAAGACACTGGACATACCCATATTGGGCAGGAAGCAGGTGTCCTCTACTTTTATACAGACGGATCGGCAGATACACCTTTACATCCGGAAACTCGCAGGGCTGCGTGGTCAGTCATCCAGTTTAGGCCAGATTCGTTAACAACCCCGTTCCTTACCATTAAAATTCAACATGTACGGGGGCCCCAATCTATCGCCCGGGCAGAACTTGCGGCAGTAACCTGGATAATTCAACAGGCTACGCAACATCATTGGCCCCACCAAATAGTTATTACGACAGACTCGCAGTATGTCATTAATACAATTCATCAGATTACCCAACCAAACAGCTTCCCTGCGTGGCATCATCTCGCCAATGCAGACTTGCTCCAGATTATTGCACAGTCATGGTCTCCGTCCAAATTCGTGCTTCGTAAAGTCCGTTCCCACCAAAATATACATGACGTGCCTCCGGGCCCCGCCAGAGATGATGTTATGGGAAATTCATGGGCAGATTATGCGGCCGTTCAAGCTCGTAAAACGGACCACGAGATTGTCGACTCACTATTCGAACAGGCTCGGATTTGGCACAATGACCAGTTCATCCAAACTAAGGTCATTCTGAAGTACCTTGCCGCACTCAACCAGGCTCATGCCACCCTAAAGCAAGGTCAGAGCCCACAGACCTCTCGTGCAACTCATCATGATCCTACAGCAGATTGGGGCACCCTCTTTCGACAGCGCGAATTGTATGAGATTACTTCGGAACCTATATGTTTGACCCCGACAGTTCACCCCGCCTTCATCACTGCATGCGTCTGGGGTAACCAATATGCTGATTTAGTGTTGAGATTCTGCGCTAGTCTGAAATGGCCGAATCCCCATATTTCCCCCTCTGATGAAGTGGGAGCATCAGGCATTACTTGGCACGAATTAGCCATCGCATTCATCGTTAATACTGGTTTGCAGTTTCCCACGTGGATTCGCAAAGATGGTCAGGCTAGGGCACAACCCGTTCATTGGCAGGATCCAGCCGTACTAGCCCTCCCCATCACACGTCGTTCTTTGCGAGAGCAGGCTGAAGCTTTTCGTACCATTGTCATCTATCTTCAAGGTTATGCCACCACACCTCTGGTTCCAAAATACTCTAAAACTGGATCATCCAGTCTAGCACAAGTGGGATGGGGAAGAGCTTATACAGGTGGTTTTGCCTCTCGTCCGGAAATCCCTAATTCCGGCGCAGTGCAACAAACACTGGTTCTTTATGCCGACAACTTACATTGTAAGCCTCCTTACCATCCAGACGGTTTGGTGCCCATGCGTTACGCGAAAGCATATTTTCCCACTGTTCCAGCACAGCCGCTCACATTCGAACAGAAGTTCAAATATAGACGCAATCTTCGAAAAGTATGGAATAAAAATGGAGATCTTGACTCCGTTGTGCTTCCAGCACCTAATTAGGAATTTATCACCGAGACTTCTACGAGCAGCGCGGATATTCGGTTTCACGTAGTTAGTCGTCTCACACGATAGTCTTTCTTTTTGCACCGTCATTATCCGACAAGACGATATTGACCTCACTCCCGGACACCCACCACCGGTGTAGGGTCGCGGGAAGCGTGTCGACAGCGAGCGCAAGTTGTGTGAGTAGTATGGCCAGGAGCCCCTAGTAGCGTCCTTGCTCCTAGTAGCGATGCCAGGAGCCCCTAGTAGCGTCCTTGCTCCTAGTAGCGATGCCAGGAGCCCCTAGTAGC